TCTATCTATCTATCTATCTATCTATCTATCTATCTATCTATCTATCTTTTTCCCAGATAAAGCGCTGAAACAGGTGTAGAGGCGACAGCCGATCCGGTGGGTGTACTGGAACACAGGGCTTGTACTGGGGAGTGAAGGGATACTGGGACACTGTGCAGAGCAAGCTGAAAGCCAGCTGATGGGCTGAGGAGTTTGGCCCCCTTTCTGACAAGTGGCAGGGAGTCACTTGGGAGTCGAGAGGAAAAGCATTCCTAGCAGAGTTCTAGGAAATTAACCTGCGCCCAGAGTGAAAATAAGAAAGCAGGGGAAACCCGGCGCAGTGCAGGGTTATCATCATCACTTGGGGAGACAGAGGCAGGTGGAGCTCTGTGAGTTTGAGGCCAGTCTGGTCTATAGAACGAGCACCAGGGCAAGCCAAGGCTGTACAGTGAAACCCTGTCTCAAAAAACAAACAAAACCACCAAAAACCAAAAAAAAAAAAAAACAACAACAAAAACAAAAAAAAAAAAACAAAAAACCAAACAACCAAACAAACAAACAAAAAAGAAAGCAAGCCAGAAGATTATGATACTGTGTTGGAGCATAAGGACTTGAATGAGTAGAGGGACAGGGCACTGGGATTTCAGTACAAAAGCTTCAGGGGACTTGGAACTGATGGGGCAAGGTGGGCCCACGATGGATGAACAGAGAGGAAATGAGCAAGTACTTTGGGAAATGTGCACCAGGGAAGTGAAGGCATCAGCTGTAACTCTCAGCCACATTTACTGTGTGTGTTGGAGGTGTGTGTGTTCTAGCTACAAAACTGTGAAATTGCATCACCCACACATACCTCAGTGAGTTGCACAATGGTAGCTCATTTCACCATGTTTGCTTCTGGCAAATTCATCCAGGAGCCTCTAACAGCATAGGCAAGGATTCTAAGCCACCCCCCTCTGCCCCCCAGGTATTGAAGATCAGGGTTTTAGGATGCTGGAGGTTTATCCCAGGGAAGCTGGAAGCAGGCTCTGATACCCAGTGGTAACCCTGCCTCTCCAGCAGCCTTGTGTATCCTGTGGGATGCATCTCATTAAAAAGAGAGGGCTGGCTGGCTGGCTGACACACTTCCTGAAGTGATGTCCCAAGTAGTGTTATTTTATTTTTTTAATTTATAAACGGCACTAACAAAATACAAGGGTGGAAAAAGAAGGGAGAGAGAGCAAAAAAGGTCTCCTAGGATCTTAAGCACCAGAGGAGTCATTCTTGATGCTTGGGTTTCAGCTTGTCTAAGGGACTGGGGTGCAGAGCCTTCTCGAAATCCGCCGGACATGAATTAGCCTGGAGTAAAAAGTAGGTGTTTATCTCAAGTCGTTGCCTCAAACAGCCAACTACCTGTTGGAAGAAAGGTCTGATCGATGCCAACCAGAGCAGCCGTGCGTGAGCTGTTACACAGCGGTTAGTATTGATCAGAGCCAAAGGCTGCCCATAGGAATGTGGAGCAAACTGACAGGCGGAGAAGAGGGAAGAGGGAAACTGCCTTTGCTGGTGGCAGCTGGGCAGAGCAGAGCCGATAAAAAGTCAATTCCACTTAGCGGAATCGCTGCTAACTAAATATTTGGGGGGCCAGAGCCTTCCTGGGTGGCTGCCGGAGGATCTCTGCTTCCAAACTGAGACATCAAACAGGCCCAGGGAGAGGACAGGTGAGGTCCGGGCTCCGGTTTATGGGTAAGAGAAGAGAGCCCAGCACGGAGGGTGAGACGCCTTGGTCTCAGCTGCGATGGCGCCACTAGGGCACTAGATCTAGGACAACCTGCTCCATAGAAAGTTGAGCAGTGGGGGCCAGTGCTGTAGTTTGGATCTTGAATGGAAAGGTTCGCTGTGTTGAGAGCTTGGTGTTTGCTGTGGGGAAGTGGGAGAACCTGGCAGAAGGGTTAGGTCACTGGGGGTGTGCTCTTCAAGGGAATGTTAATCTTCATCATATTCATCCCTTCCCTCAGGACTCAGGGAGCCCTGCAGAAGAGGAGGTGGAGAAAGCCAGAGTGATGGAGGACACCTAGGAAACAAGGTCTTCTAGGCCCAAGAGCCTTTATGAGGTAATTTAACAATTTTGCTGAACAACAGCTCTCACAATTGTTCCAGTCAGGGACCAACCACGCTCTCTATTGGTCAATTTTACACGCTGAAGAAATGCATTTATTCCATCATTGATAAATATGTGTGAGCGTGTGTGTGTGTGTGTGTGTGTGTGTGTGTGTGTGTGGTGTGCATGTATGCACAGACACATATTTCATGCACTGCCCATCCTTCTAAACTCAGGCCTCTCTAAACCCAATTCTTGTGTGTACCTAGAGAACTCTGCTTAGAATATATTGAGTTTCTGTATTTAACACTTAACAGAGTCGATAAACTTCATTCCTTTAGGTAGTTGGCTTAGTATTTTAAGCATGGTTTTTAAGTAATGTCCTCTTTTTTGTGTAAGAGAAAACAGGAAAAGGAAAAAAAAATCCAACGTACAAACATTGACAGTGACGCTTCATTCTGAAGATGAGGGCTCAGATTCCAGAACATGGATGCTGGGCAATCCTGAAATTGTTTCTCAGGACTCAGACACAAAGTGCTTAAGTCACATTAAATGCCACTGGATCCCCTTATCCCAGATCAGCGTGTAAACATTTATCTCCAGGCTTTCCCAGAAATGTGTCTTATGGAAGGGATTAGCCATCATCAGTGTATTTTAAGAGCTGCAGGTGAACTCCTCCAACCCTCATAATTAAAGCAGAAAATTTCTGGTGGAGGGGGAAGAGGAAAAAAAAATATCAGGGAAAACACCATTGTGGTGAATAAAAAATGGCTCACATAGATTCATGTGTGTGAATGCTTTGGCACATAAGCAGTGGCACTGTTAGGAGGTGTAGCCTTGTTGGAGTGGGTGTGACCTTGTTGGAGGAAGTGCGTCACTGGAGGGCGGGCTTTGAGGTCACATATATGCTCAAGCCAGGCCTAGCAGGGTGCACTGTCTCCTTCTGCTGCCTGCAGACTGAGATGTAGAACTTTAAGCTTCTTCTCCAGCATTGTGTCTGCACACCGCCGCGCTTCTCACCGAGACGATAATGGACTACACCTCTGAAACTGTAAGCTAGCCCCAATTAAATGTTTTCCCTTATAAGTGCCACGGTCATGGTGTTGCTTCACAGCAATAGAAACCCTAACTAGGACAACCAACCTTGGGAAGAAAGCTGGACTCCTGCAGTCTTGGGCCTCGCTGAGTATGTTTTCATCTTTCCACAGTTACTGTCACTGTCGATTGAAGCAAGCAGAGACCAGGGATCTTTATGATTGAGTGGAGCCACCGATTGGTCTTTAGTTTTGTTTCATTTTTAAGACAGGGTCTCCCTAGGTACTCTCGGTAGGCCTTGACCTTGTCATTCTCCTGATTCAGCCTCGCAAGCGCTGGGATTACAGGCACATGTCAACATTATGCTGGATTACATATCACTTGAAAGTATTCATATATTGTCATTATCATTTTTATTTTTAAAATTTTTTCGTACACCTATTTATTTGTAGGTACATGTGATAAGGGGAGAGTGATCATGCCATGTGTACACATGGAGGTCAGAAGACAACTTGCAAGTGTTGGTTCTCTCCATCTACCATGGAGTTTCCAGAGGCTGGACAGAGGTTGTCAGGCTTGGCAGCAAGGACCTTTACCTGCTGAGGCTCTGGCCCTCATTTTTTTAAAAATGCAAATCATATAAGGAGAAAATAAGAATTAAAATAACAGTTTCATTATTCATATTGAGTCTAGGGGCTCTAAAACAAATATGCATGCTATTCAAATACAGAAGTTCTCCTTATCCTCATAGGGGCAGCCTGAAACTTGGATAATACATACAAATGATGACATTTAATTCGTAAATTAGGTGTAGGAGAAGATTAGCAACAGTAAAAGATTAGCAATAATCACTGATAATAAAATAGATTGATGATATACCATAACAAAAGTGACACGAAACTAATCTTTCTCTCTCAGAAGAGTCAAGGCAAGCAGTGTTTTCAGAGCATAGTTGACCTTGGATAACCGCAGCCATGGATGACCGAGCCTGTGATACTGGAGGGACTACCATCATACAAAAAGCACCAAATGAAAATGAAAAATCCCGTCCCTCCTTCCCAGCAAAGCCCCTTTCCTCAGAAACTCTTACTGCTAGTATTTTATTATATTCCCCTCTACTTCAATTAAAAAACCATTGTAGTTGCTTCTTGGCCTCCTGGCTGAGATCAAGTATAAATGTATTTATGATATAATTTTGAGCATGCCTAGAATCCCTCCCTTTCCCAGATATTGTCTGTGCTCTTACAACACCTGCTGACTTGCTATCCCCGATCTAGAGATTTCTACAGAAGCACTACATGCTTAAGCTAATTCTCTTATTCACCTGGGTCTAATAGTGCAGGTCTGCACTCTCATTCTTCGGAGGCTAAGGCAGGAGGATTGAAAGTTGAAGGCCAGCCCTGGCATGGTAACACACATCTTTAATCCCAGCACTTGGCAGGCAGAGGCACATGGATCTCTCTGGTCTACAGAATGAGTCCAGAACAGCCAGGGCCACACTGAGAAACCCTGTCTTGAAAAACAAAACAAAAAATCAGAACAAGCTGGGCATGGTGGCACACATCTTTAATCCTAGCACTTGGGAGACAGGGGCAGAAGCACCTTGATGAGTTGGAGGCCAACCTGATATGTATATTGATGCACAGAGAAACCTTGCCTCAAAACACCCAAACTAACCAACCAACTAACCAACCAACCAAAACAAACAAACACCAAACCGAAAACGCCTGGAGATGTTACTCTCTGTTAGAGTTTTCCTGGCAAGTATGACCTTAGCAAGTTCAGTCCTCTGTGCTGGCAATACCACCACCACAAGGAGGCACAGTCAGTGACTGCTAGCCGTTCCCCACATTCTAGATGAAGACATAGCAGTCCCTCCTTTGAATGTGGTGGAAACGAAGTCATGCATTTGAAAACTGCTCTGAGAGTGTAACAAATGTCAGACACAGTCCATGTGCCTTACGTGGCTTATACAGTCCTTCACACAGTCCTAAGATGCAGTCGCCAAACCCACTTTCTTAGAAGAGGGGACTCGAAAGTGAAATGCAAATTGCTTAGAGTTGCGTGACTCAGGCCAGCTGGGTTGTGAGAAGCACATCTGTGGGATTCTTCTTTACTTTCTGGGCTACCTACGACAGGGCAGCTTCAAGAGCAGAGCATGGAGACTTCCTGCCCCAGAGATGCAGTCAGAGTGTGGGCTGGCTCGATGGGAGGGCACAGGCTGGGAGGGACGCCTGCAGGGGAGGGGAGGGCTGGCCGAGGGGAGGAGGGAGGGCATCAAAGGAGCTCTGCCCATACTGTGATCTTGCCTAGGGCCAGCACAAGATCTGATTTCCTTTGTGGTCTCCTAGTAGCCTGGGGCAGGGAGTAGCTAGAAGCCACAGGCTGCAACCCCAAAACCTGGTATTCCAGTTCTGCTGTGAATTCTAAGGCCTTGGCAACTCTCCGTACTTCCTGGGCAACATCCTTTTTCTGTAAAGTGGGGATCGTATATCCTGGCTCAAAGGGGTCAGTCTGGGGCTGCTAAAGGGCTTGGGTGTTGATTAGAAAGCATAGCATGAGGCTTTAACATACTGCCCAGGGCCTGACGTGAACCGTGGGTTAATAAGGGGGCCGAAGAACTCCCATAGAGACAACCCTGAACATGTACCTCCCTGGGGAAGAGACTATGGTGCCAGGGACCCTGATATTGTCTGAAATCAATGCTAGAGCAGGTAAGGGGCCCAGGGAGGTCATGGATGGACAGTATTATTACTATCTAGCTGCATGATAGCAGGGTTGGCAGAGACACGGTAATGAGCCCTCTCTTCTCCGTGCTTCCACTCCTAGCAATTTGGGGCAAGTTGGGGGCCGATGACGTCTTCCCTGGTGGGCCAGTATCTGTCTTGTTTTATGGCCTACTCTGCTTTGGGGGCCACCCTATCACACAGAGACTCTAAGTAATGGACGGCATCTCTGCCATTTCTTATAGATCCAATATCCTGCGTCTAGGTGGTATTTCAGGCCGAGTTATAGTGCCGTGGATCAATGCCCCGAATCACATAATGAAATTCGATTCCTCAAGAGTTTGATTAACGGTATCAAAGTCAGGTTCAACCTTTTAAAAGTTTTACTACTGTAGAACGGGATCAATCAGGAGGGGCAGAAAGACAAGGGCCCCATGTCAGCTGTAGCTCACTTCCTTCCCTGTCAGAAATTTGTACAGTGTCAGACAGACCAGGTCTTATAACGGACTGGGGTAGGACACCCTTTTGACCCTTGGAGGGTGGGCTCTCTAGGGAGCAAGCAGGCTCTCTTGGTGCTGAGTGAACACACGGGAAAGCCAGGGGAGATGTGAACAGCTCAGCATTCTTCATCCCATCTATGGGGATTCTGATGCTGTGGTCCATGGTGAGGTCTGGGCATCCCCTGAGGAGTTCAATGTGCAGCCAAGTGTGTCTGTACTGTCTCGACTCCAGGTTTGCAGGCTGGCATCTTCATCCCCAGGCTCCCCAGACTGAATATGGAGAAAGACTTCAAGAGTTAATTCAGATAAACTGAGGTCACACGCGTGGGTCCTGGTCCAGCATGAGTGGTCTCCTTGGAAGAGGAGGAGATTCTCCCAAGTCAGATTCTGTGACGTCAGCAGAGGAAGGCAGCCATCTATAAAGTAGGGAGAGAGGCCTCAGAAGAAACCAGCGTCTCCAACCACAGAGCCTTGGGCTTGTAAACTGGAGAACTATGAGAAAGTAAATTCTGTTGTGAAACATTCCCAGTCTCTTGTACTTGGCTCGGGCAGCCTGAGAAAATGACCACACTGAGAGTCTCGGGTCTGGTGGAAGCAGCTACCGGCAAATTTTGGTGTAAAATTTGGGCGGGGGGAAGGTCATATCCCTCAGCCTCTGTTTCTTCTGTCTTCTTTATCCTGCTGGATCCCTTCCTCCTGGAACTGCTCACAAATGCCCATTAGTCGGTAGAGGTTTCAGCTTTTATCCTTCCACGAGGTACCTGCATTTTAGTGTGGGAATATCTATATATCTATATAATTTATTTATTTATTTATGTGATGGTGCAGAAAGAGCCCAGGGCCTTGCATGCTTGTCACCCCTAGCCCTTCATGTGGAATTTAGAGAAATTATTGTAATTGTGCATATGTACTACAGTAGGGGTAGAAGAGTTAAGACACTTCGTTGGAGTCAGAACTCATGACATTAGATATGGGCAACAAATATTTTCTCTGCTGAACCATCTCTGATGTGGGGTTTTTGTTGTTATTTCTTAACTTTTGGGGATAGGGTCTTGTTAAGCTGTCTAAGCTGGCCTTGAACTTGGCATCCTCCTGCTTTAAGCAGTCCCAGAGCTGGGCTGCAGGTGAGTCCCACCACACACGTCCTTAATGTGGGACTCTTCAGGGCAAATTTCTCTAGGTAATGACATAATTGTTTTTATTTATTTATCTGTTTATCTATCTATTTATTTCTTTATTTAGACAGAATTGTTTTGATCCTGCTAAGTTGTTAGCTGAGAAACATTTGAGCTGGCTACATTTCAATCACTATTCCTACAGTTACAGTCAATGGTTGGTGCCAACCACAGTCCTCTGTCTGTCTCTGGCCTGTGCTCCTGTCCGTTTTATTCTCTGTCTTCACTCGTGGGGCCCCTCCTCCTGTCACTGTGGTCTGTATGTGCTCACGTGAGGGAACCAAGGGTTTGACCGCCATGTCCAAGCTGCTCATCTCCCCAGGCTTCTGACGTGTCCACTAAGCACCAGGACAGCCTGCTTGTTATGGCAGATACTCAATGGTGAATGGAGGTTGTGAACCTATGAAGTTTGATTCTAGAAACTGTGCCTCTACGTGTGGAGCACTGAAATCGCCCCGATGCAAGGTGGCAAGCTCAGAACAGAGCCAGGGTGTATGTGTGTGGGGGGACAGCTTTGCTCTCCCGAGGGAGAAGGCAATGGGGCTTCTCTCTATCAAGCTGCCCTTTCAAAGTCCCTGAGGCGCTGCTGCCTGTGGGAAATCAAATTATTCATAAACACAGTTATTCCCTGGTATTTTTTTTACATCTCTTATATGAGATAGCATGGTGTTCCCATACACCTTAAATCACTTGTAGATTATTTACATCTACTACAATACAAAAGCTGTGTAAGCCGTTGGTTGTCAGACCATATTGTCTAAGGAACAATGCCAAGAAAAACGTCTGTGCATATTTAGTACAGAAACAAATTTTTTTTTTCTGAATATTTTGAGCTGTGCTTGACTGAACCTGTGAATATACCCTGGGATGTACAGGCCTGGCTTTCTGCATGAGAGGATTATGCTTTGGCCTCACCAATATCAGCTGTGGCCACGTGACCTGCTTTGCTTTACAATACAATTCTGAAGAGGAAATGACAAGGAGAGCGAGTCCTTTATAAAAGATGCCAGTGGTACTTTTCCTCTCTTCCAGCATGAATGCAGCCGGGGCTGGACTGTTCCATCGGCTTGGGTTGCAGTATGAAGAGAAGAGAGAAAGGAGGGGCAAGCAGCCTGTCACTGGAAATTGTTTCTCTGTGGGCGGCCACTGAGACGTGAAGAGCTGTTTGTTATCGTGCACAGGAAAAGCCGACTGCTACACCCTCCGAATATCAACATATTTAATGTGAAATGCCAGGGATAATGTAGGGATAACACCTTTAAGTAATCAATAGATGCTATTAAAGTCTACTGAAGGAATCTGCCAAACCATTTCAGTCTACCTTCTCCGAATGTTTTTTTTCTACGTCTATCTGATCCTACCTCCAAGGCCAAGAGACCATAAGCATCTCTCTGGCTCAGTACTCCCAACATCCTTTCAGTCCTTACACAGACATTCATAACGATAGGCTCACTTGAAGTTCCTTTATGTTCTGGACACAGAAAGAAGGGGAGAGCAGAAAACGAGGTCTTCCTTTATAGATGGAAATAAAGCAGACAGAACTTGCCAAAGTCAGGATCGAGTCCCTGCTTTTACTTGCTACTCTTAGTCCCCAGTTCCTTTCTCTTTCTCTTTCTCTTTCTCTTTCTCTTTCTCTTTCTCTTTCTCTTTCTCTTTCTCTTTCTCTTTCTC